TCCATCCCCGCGGCATCCCGCAGAGCCTCGGCCGATGCGGAGACCGGGGCTGTCGGTGGCGGGATCCCTGGGGCAGAGAGCCGTGTCCTGCGGTAGCACCTTTGGGGTGGCATCCAGCAGCCTGCACAGCGGCACCGTGTTTTGCCGGGGGGGGTTTGGTGTCAGGCAGGGGGGAGGTGAGCGGGAGCCACGGGTGACGGTGAGGCAGGCAGGGTGGGGAGAGATTTGTGGTTACAGCTGTACCGCCAGGCCCTGAACACAGGCAGCCAGGTGCCCAGTGCATGGCAGGGGCTGTGGAGGCACTTTGGGGCCAAGACACTGAATTTTCACTCTTAGCTGTTAAATACAGTGGCTGAGGCTGGAGAGTGCATGGTTGGCAGGACATGGGATAATGCCGTACCTCACAGGTGGAGGTGAAATCCCTGGGGAGGGTGGGAGAGGGGGGTTTGCATTGCTGCTGAAATAGGGAGCTGCATTGAGGCTCACGGGTGGTCTCCCAAACCACTTACGGCTGCAAAGGCAAGTCTCGTGCTAGAGTGGGGGCTGGCGCGGAGCCCCATCCAGGCTGTGCCATGTGCAGCACAGGAGGGAGATGGGATCTGGGAGCAGAGCAGATGGGAAGAAGCCCAGGAAAGCCCAGCATTCATGTTTTTTGGAGCCTGGTGGATGCTGGCAGCTTTCGCTGGTCACCCCGTGGGCGTGTGAAGGATGGGGGTGATGGGGGAGGTGGTGGCTGGATGTGGGGTGTTGTGCTCCCCCCACAGCATGTATGTCTTACACAGATATCCTGTGCTTTTTTCTAGGTGCACGTTCTATTTCATTTATTTACAAAGGTTCAGATTTATCTCTCTTCTTTATAAAATATAACAGCATCGTTAAAAAATAATGATAATAAAAAAAGGAAGCCAGAAAAAAACAGCTGTGGTCGGAGAGACACTTGCCTAAATTGTGGCAAGTGTCTGCACAGCCTTGACCCAAACCTGCCAGCAAAGAGGTGGCGATGTGTGGGCGGGGGAGTAAAAATTTCCAAACAAAAGCAAAAATAGAAGCGGCAGGGTCACAGGGCAGGGGAGCTTTTCTGCCGCATCAGACTCCGCTGACGGGGCTGAGCGGTGATGGAGGGAGCGGGAGGAAACTCTGGTGACCCAGGGGCCACGTGTGCTTGGTCCAGCCAGGGTTTCCACCACCCGTGCTCACATCTCCAGCCAAGCAGAGGAGGGTGTCAGCGCCCAGCCAGCACCACGGCAGCCGCCCAGACGTAACCGGTGGGGTTTGGTAGGGGACCCGCTTGGATGGTGGTCGCTGCCTCTTGATTGAGGGTGTCGCGGTGAGGAGGAAGGGAACCCATGAATGAGGCAGATGGGTCTAGGTCAGGGCCACGCAGTTAAATTAATGATTTTACCAAGCTGGGTCGTCTTCTGCCCTGCCAGGCCAGCGAGGAGCTGGTGTATCTGCCTTGTGCTGCCGTCTGCATCAGGGAAGGGAAGGCAGACTGCATGGGGCTGGCCTTGCTTGCTGCGAGCAATGCTTGCAGGAGTCCAGAAGGCCTGGTGTGTTTGGGACCACTGGCACTGCACACACGTCACCTGAAGTCGGGATGGCCCCAAGCCACATCAGTCCCGCAGGCAGCATTTTTTCATTTCTACCAGGAGAGGGGGACGCGGTTCTTCTGTTTCCCTTTGGTTTGTTTTTATGATCCAGTTTAATGCTGGAGATAGGAGTCAGCCCTCCGTTTTATTTCTTGGAGGAGGGCAATGAGGAGCAAGATGTGCCGCTGAACCTGGGCAGTGCTGGCGTGCCATGTGTCCCTGCGGACGTGGCCTCATCCCCAGGAGTGTCCCCGTGCCCCTGCATGGCATTTTCCAGTGGAGCCGGCATCGTCAGCACAGGCTTTGCAGGGACTGTGGGTCCTTGAGGGGATGCAGGATGCAGAAGACTCTTGTTTCCAGTGAGCTGCTTGTCATGTTGAGCTGGACGAGAGCAGAGTGAGCAGTCCCGACCCGCTGCTTGATGTCCCTGAGGCTGCGCAGCTGATGCAGCCCTGGGCTGCGGGGTCAGGGTCACCCCTGAGCTGAGCTCGTCTGTGCTCTGTCCCCGGGTGTCCAAGTTCCAGCAGCTCCCACCTGCAGCATGTCCTCTGCAAACAAAGGCTGAACAGCTGAAATGATGTCTCCTCCTTTTCCCTTCCCCCTTTTTTGTGATAAAAAAACGATGGTTAAAAGAACTAGGCAACTCAAAACTTAGTCTTGGGAACACCCAAGATATTTTTTAATAGTTAAAAAAAAATATATATCATTGTTATTGTCTCTGAGATGATGAAACTTAGCGTGGTCAGATTTGCTTTCAGATCTTAAACACAAACATTAAGTGATCACATTTTCTAGGCGGCCTTAGGGATGATGGTATAAATCAAGCAGAGACGCTTTTACATTCTGTAAATGTTTTATTAATGAAATCTAAAAAGTCTTGGGCATGGGCCACAGCGTAGCTCCCATTTCATCAGAGGGTTTGATGAGCCGTTCTGGTTATCTGACTGCTCTGCAGAATTAAGGATTTTGATCTTTTTGCTTTATTCTTCTCTTGCTGACTGCTGTTGTAATCAGGCTGACCAATTGCCTGTTCAGCAGGAGAATTCGGTCTGTTCTTGCAAGATCAATCTGTTTCTTCCTGCGAAATCTATTTTTGTTTTTACTTTCTATGCAGAATAAGACTGCAGCATTGGTGGGTATCTAACAGCCAACACATCTTCTCTTTTTTGTTTGGTTGAGCTGTTCATATTTCATACGCTGCAGAAAATAAGGTGGATTTTTTTTAAGAGGGATAAATATTTCCATTTACTGCAGGAATGTGCAGCAAGATGAGTCAGTTGTTATGAACTGACTGTGCATATTTAGTTGTGCATATTAGTAGTTTTACAGTTGGGAAGTCAGAGCAGACCTATTTACTCACATTTTTGGGGATATTCGTTTTCATGGCGACCTAAGATCAGAAACCTGGGAAAACTCTCTGGTAGTTGTAGGGTTGTACCGTAAATACTGGGAATGCCATAAATGATGGGAAGGAGAATCTCCTTGCTGGGTTGTTCATGTGCGCCGTGGTCAGCCCTCTCCCGGGAGTACGGCCCCATCAGTCTGCTGAATTTTGGGAAGAGAAAACAAGAATGACACCGTTGGTGTTATCAATGGATAACATTTGGACTCGGGTTCATCCTGCATAGGTCAAGGTTTCGATACCCACAGTGAGAGGCCCCTCCGGGAGGTGGGTGTGAGATGCCAAATCACACTTGGGCAGATCCATCCTCTCGTCACTGCATAGAAAACTTCTGAGAACTGCCATCTCCTCTGGGACATCCCTGTTTCAGTGAGGTGATGCCAGCTCTGGCACCCTTGAGTCGTGGCCGAGGATCGCAGCCGCCTGTGCTGGATGCTGCATGACAAATGGGACCTCACAGGCTTTTCCGATACAGCGTTTGCTCCAGAGCTTCATGGAGTGATGCCCCTTGGTCACCGTCTATTGCTGTGCATAAACCTCTAATTTGAGACCAGTGGGATGTGGTCCGTTGCATCAGGACCAGAGTGTGCGTGTTGGTGTGAGCCCGATGGTGCCGTGGCAGGGATGGAGCAGGGCGAGCACCTGACTTGGTGGATGAATCTCAGTTGCAGCCCAAAGCAGCACCCCCTGTGCTGCAACAACTGTGAGACCAGCAAATGCCGAGTTCAGACCTCAGACAGCTTTGTTTTAAATCAGTGTGAAATACTTTAGCTCAAGCAGTTTCAGTTCTAGATTATTTAGGGGTTTTTTAAATGTTTTTATTGCCCATTTGAAACAGAACAGTTTGGAAGTGTCCCACGGGAACTTTTTTAGATCCCCCCCTCCCCATAAATTCTTTCCTCCTTTAATTTTTCTTTTTCCATTGGGATGTTTTGGGTCAGGTTTGGTGGAAGGAGCCCGCCAGCCTGGCATGGTGCTGCTCCGGTGCTGCCCCGCTCACGTATGCGAGGCCAAGCGGAGAAGCACTACCTGCCCCAGCCCTGCAGTAAGGCAAGGCTTAGGTAAGGATGAGCGCTAATGAGTACTCGGCTTTGGAGCACGGGGGAGTGCTGTGTCGATGGAGGTAGGCGATGAATGTGCTGCATCTGAACCATGACTCAGTGCCTTGCTCTGCCTGGTTGGTGTTATCCACGCAGCATCCCTACCTGGAGCAGTCCTGAGTGGGATGTGGTTGGGTACTTTGATTTTACTAACCACGTGCCTTAGCCTTCAACTTCAGTCCAAGGTTGTTCGGATCTTTAGAGAGCTTCAGGTTTGCTTTGTTGGGGGACTGCTGGTCTTGATGCCAGAGGAAGGTTGTGTGTTTCCTTTCACACTGCTGCCCTTGTGACCCTCCTAACTGGGGCTGTGGGGCACTGGTGTGGCACAACTGGTGCAGCTGTGAACAAGCTGCGTATTTGCATCCTGAGGAGCAAGTAGCTGGAGCCAACTGGATGGTGACGTGTATATACGTATATATTTCACCATCTTGGCTCCTCTGCTCAGTAGGATGTGCTCACTGGGCTTGCTGGTCCTGCACAGCTGCACATGGCAGTCTCGTGCTGCTGTCTGGTGATACTCGTTCAGCCCTGGGCAGCTGTGGCATGGTGACGTTCAGAGCCCTTCCCATCGCCAGGTCTCCGGGCCCATGTCCATCTGCTGTGGGTTTTAAATGCGGTTGGGAATCACTGGAGAGTGACTCATCCAGCATTGTCCTTGGCCATGGGAATGACAGCAAGTACACTCTTGCCAGTGTTCATGGCCAAGGGCTTTTCTTTGCTCAGACACTGCTATTTATCTTACTTTATGAGAGGCTTGTCGTTACTGTGGAGAGGCCAAGATTAAGCTTGCTCAGGGATAGACTGGCCAAGCGAGAGGGGTTTCCTTGCAGGGCGGTGAATCAGCTCCCCACACTGGTTGAGCTCAGCAGGACCATGACAGTGTTACTCCTTTTCCTGGGATAAAGCAGGGGAAGGGAATGGGCAGGATTTGTGCAACCATGTCCTCGCTTGTGGTAACACTCACTGCTTCAGCTACAGCTGTGACTATCCTCTCCCTGCCCTGCCCCAGGACAGGGGGTGGCTGCCACAACAGAGTGACCCGACCCAAAGAGTTTGGCTTTGGTTTCTAACCACAATCACTTTCCCTTTCTCTCCCCGCTGGTAATTTTGTCATCGCTGCTTACCCCTCCACTAGCCTGTAATTCCTCCCTGCTCCATCCCACGGCTGTTGCTCCAAGGCACGGGTACAAGCAGAGGCGATGGTGGGGCTGGTCCTGGTGGGGATGCGGACTCAAGGGCCAGCTGGGAGCTGAGCACCCCCAGCTAGCCTGGTGCTGAGCTGGCTGTCGGTTTGCTGAATCTCTGTGTCTATGTGGGGAGGAGAGAGAAGAGAAGGGAGAAGGGGCTAGTAGGAAGGAAGGTCTTACCCAGGTTTGTGCTCTCCAGGGCTGTGTGGCTGCAGTGAGCCAGGCTTGTGTGCAAAGCGCAGGTCTCGCCCGCACGCTTCCCTCCTGCGTGAGTTTGCTGCCTGTGTGCCAGGTCCGGTTGGGGGACAGCCACCGCCCAAGCCGGGGCGCTGGGAGGCCTGGAGCCGTGCTCCCTGCAGCCCTTTGCTCAGGTCCTTCCTTTCTCTCATGATGGTGCCGTGCGCTGGCAGCCTGCCGAGCACGCGGCGGCAAACCACGTGCTGAGGACTGGAGCAAGTAATAGTGCCGTATCTAATACCTTAGACCCCCTGCTCTGTGCTTTAAGTCTTTTGCGATGGGAAGTTCAGTAAAGATGCAAAGGAGCCGTTAATTGCTTGTGGTTTGTTGCATAAAATTATGTTTATTTTATTTGCATTGCCATACAGCTCACCCAGTGCTATTGGCTGTGCTTTTTAAATTTTAAGTTCAAACCCATTCAGGCTTCCCCCTCTATCCAAGGACCTCCTGAAACTTTGAAATCCCAAGACTTCCACCTTCAGCACAGGTTTCCCTCTAGAGAGCTCTCCTAATCCCACTTGGAGCGGGAGGGTGGATGGCAGATCTCCAGAGGTGGATTCCAGCCAACACTTCTGTTGTCTTGTGAGCTTAAAGGCTTGCTGTGCAGCCAAGCGATGGCAGGGCTGCATAACCAGCTTCCTTCGGTGTGCCTGAGCGGGCATTACCAGCCTTGTTGGAAAGGGTTTAGTTTAGGCAGAAACATGGTGTTACTGCTGTGGTGGGACTGAAACTTCTAAGCATGGGGAGGTCAACAGTATTACTGCAATATCATGGCTGACTTATGTCTGTTTTTATTGCTGAAAGCTAGATTTTTGAACAGAATTAAAACCAAGCCTGGTTGTTACAGCAGCAATTGGTATTTTCCCTCTATTGCTCATTTTAAAGACGAGCATAAAAACAATCCTGATTTTCTTCTAATTCATTATCTTTGGTCCCGATGTCTTTCAGTCAAAGTTAGGAATTTTTTAGTCCCAGATGTGGTTAAAAGTTGGGTGTTTGTCTTTTCCTCGGAGGTTGGGGTGAAGCACGGGCTGTCCTGGACCAAAGGGAGCAGTGGCAGCCTTGGTGATGTGCAGTAGACTTCTTGCGTTAGGTTGCAAAAGGCTCTGATAGCTACTGTACAGCAGCAGAGCTGTGGCTTTTGACCTGGGCAGTCCCAGAGCTCACTGCATTCCTGGAGGAGTGCAAAGTGTTCCCTAAGGAAAATTCTTTCTCACGGTTGTCAGTTGTTACTGTGATGCTGGCTTGAGAGAAGGCAGGGAACAAAGACTGTGAATGAGCTGGGTGTTTATTATGTGGTCTGGTTCTTCCCCAAGTTCTGGACTTCCCTGGTTTGTCGGGAGAAATTATATTGGTTTTAATTAGATTGTGGGAGTTGTGGCTTCTGCAGGCTTGGCTGTGTCATTAATCCTGACTGCAGCCGAACAGAAGCTGGAGCACAAGTAGAGATAGTTGATTAGGGCAGATTCCAGAAATGCCCATGCGTTACTGAAGATGATGAGACTTCGCTTTTTTGGGATGTAGAAATGTTGGTGATAAGGGACCTCTGGAGGTCTCTAGTCCAACCCCTATTTGGAACAGGACCGTACCCAGCCCTAGGTCAGGTCAGCTATGGCTTTATCAAAGTAAGCCTTGAAAACTTCAAGGGAGGGACATCCCCCACCTCTCTGGATATCTTTTCCAATGCTGCACCACCTTCCTAGTAAAGAGTTTTTATCCTAATGTCCAGTTTGAACCTCCTAAGCTGCCACTCATGGCTGTTTCCTGTTGTTACACCCTCCGCTGCTTTAGGTGAGGAAACTGCTGCATCAAAGAGGTGAAATGGATTTTTTGGTATTATGTGCAGCACTGTATTTCTCTCTGAACTGCCAGCAGTGGGCATTGAAGCGGCAGCTTCTGGCTGCTGCCTGAGCTTTGCAGAAAGGCTCAGGAGAAGAGCATGGGATGTTGACTGCTTTTGTGATTCTTATGTTCCCTTGGGCTTCTTTCTTCTGTTCAGGCTTGCATCAGATCTCGCAGAACAAGGTGGCAGTGCTGCTCCTGGCTGGAGGACAAGGAACTCGCCTGGGAGTGAGCTATCCCAAGGGCATGTACAACGTGGGGTTGCCCAGTGGCAAGACCTTGTATCAGATCCAAGCAGAAAGAATCCGCAAAGTGGAGCAGCTCGCTGGCCAGAGACACCACTGCAAGTGTGACATCCCATGGTAGGTGACCTGGAGCCACAGACCTACTGTGCAGGGGTCTTTGTGTTGCAGTCTTGCCTATGTTGTCTTCTAGAAGCACTTTGCTGGGTGCCGTACAGAGACAGGTCAGGGGAGAGCCTTTTGTTGGCAGGATTTGTGATGCCAGCAGCTGGAGGAGGGTGTGCAGGGATGGGAAGTGGCAGCTCCTTGTCTGCAAACCTGAGGGACCGAGCACTGCCATTGAATCACTGACTGCTACCCTAACTGCTGTACCG